GACTGGCTTTGAGAGGTGGAGAGTGCAGCCTTGGATGCTGATGGTGTCAGCGCCTGAGGTGCGGAGGCGCTGACGTGAGCCAATCAGGAGGGCCTCGGTTTTTCGCACGTTGAGCTGAAGAAAGTTGTCTCTCGTCCAGGACTCGATGTCGGACAAGCAGGCTGTCAGGACATCGGTGGTCGTGGAGTTGAGAGTAGAGGAGGAAAGGTAGAGTTGGGTGTCATCCGCATACATGTGGAAGTTAACCCCATGTTTGCGGATGATGTCACCAAGGGGGAGCATATAGAGGGTGAAGAGGAGGGGACCGAGGACAGAGCCCTGAGGGACACCACATGAGACAGTACGGGGGGTGGAGGAGAAGCCATTCGTTGAGACGAAGTGAAGACGGTGGGAAAGGTAAGAGCTAAACCATTCAAGGACAGTGCCTTGAAGGTTGAGGTGGGAGGACAAGCACAGGCTGGCAAGAGCCAAGGCTTGGGGACCCCAGAGTGTGCTTTGGGGTAAGTGCTGAAGTCTAACCAGATAAAACTGCATAGCTTGATATTGCTGTCTGTCAAGCCTTCTCACTGCTTGTCCAGCTACGACCACCCTACCCATTAGGGTTTTGGCTTGCAGGGTTAACAGGAGCGGAGTGAGATGACTCCGTGCCCCCAGTGACTGGTCTACCCTTCCAGGTTCTGCTGATGAGCCAGGCTGGGCTGAGCTATCATCAGCAGTGCCCTGGAATACTGCGGAGCTGCCTGGCTCAGGAACTGGACTACTGAGACCAAGGCTGGCTTGATTCCGACATTCTGTTCCCAGGCATGTCACCTTGGAGCCAGTTCAGCTCCCACCCCCGCTTAACCCACCCCCCATCTGGCCAAGGAGGATAGAAATTTCTTCTTAAACACATTGATACTTTCCGTTCAACCACAGATTCTCGTAGTGAGCTCCCACCACTCTCTGCGCAAAGAATTTCCTCCTAAATTCTCTTTGAGATCCATTCTTGATTAACTTACATTTATTCCACCTTGTTTTGGACTCACCATCAAGCGGCATTCATTAATTCCAGGCTTTACTACTCTAATTCCCTCCTTGCCAGATTACCCAACTCTTCCCTTCCACAAGCTGCAGATTATTCAGAAATCTGCAGCTTGTGTCCTCTCCCACACTAAACTTTATGAGCTTATCACCCCCATGCTTGCCTAGATTCTCTGACTCCCCATCCCCAGATGATCAAATTCAACATTCTCCTCTTCAATATATATATATATGTACATGTATGTATGCAACAGTCCGATTTCAATCATCTCATCTCCAAAGAGAGAAAATCCCTTACCTGTCCAATGTTTCTTAGCAGCCAAATTCACATGATTTACTGTAAAGTGAAGTGACTGTGAATATTGTAGATGAACTATAGATGGTATATTACCGCATATATACAGCATATGTACGAGTGATTTCAAGGCAGCAATCTAACTTTAGGATCAACCAACCTTTTCTTTCACATTTTTCTGTTGCTGTCAGAGCTCTTTGATTACAAACTGTCTTTTAATCACACAAGGGAACCATTAGCCTCGATTCACTCAATTACATCTGATTTGCCTAAAACTACAGGAAAAAATATTTCCTAGTAATTTGCTATGTCCAATTATAAGAAAGTGTTAGCTCTATAAACTCCATATATTAATTTAAGAACAAGCTTATTTAACTTTCTTGCCTTTCTTCCTCCTGATATAAAAGGAACTATATATGTGGAGTCCTGTAGCTCAGTGGTTAGAGCACTCGCTTTGCAAGCGAGAGACTTGGGTTCGAGTCCGGGCAGGACGAAACCTTGGGCAAGTTTTCTTACTCCACACGCCTGATAATAATCCCTCAAAAAAAATAATAATAAATTGGTCATTTCAATCCACGACTGCTTGTGGTACATTGCTGTGCGCAATTCGCTGCCGCATTTTGCCCACAAATATACAGTCAATTCACTTTACAGTCTATTCTGTGAAGCGTTTTGAGACATCTAGAAGACGTGAAAAGCGCTATATCAAATGCAAGGATTGTTATTATTATATCAAATGCACAGATTATTGCTATTGATGACAACAAAAACCTTTGGTTCTACAATAGATTGCAGAGCTGCTGCTGGAGCTTCCTTTCCCGATCGCTATCTAAACATCCCAACATGCTCCCCACCCCTTGCCAGAGGATACATGTGTATAGATGTTTGGTTAGGATTTGCCTTCCTCCCCTCCCCAGACACCCAACCACCCATCACAGCTGAATAACCTACCAACTTTCACTGTCAAGGCTCACACATACATGCTGCCCATTTGGGCAAAGTACCAAATATAATAACCTACAGTAACGCAGGAACAGGAAAAGGAAATTGTTGCCTCCAGTGGAGGAGAAAAGTTGGCTGAAAAAGGAAAATGTATTCCTCACCTGAATTGGATTTACACAATTTGCCTCCATATGTGGCTCTGATGAATTATTCAGCCCAAACCACAGTGGAGTTAATCCTGTACTCAATGACACATCACTGAATACAATTGAAAAGTAGAATTACTGGTAACAATAATCACAATGTAATAATCTAAGATGTTTACAGCATGCATATTAATCTTGGGAACAAAAAACAAGTTATTTAGAGCTCTGCACTGGACCTTAAGATAAAACATAACAATAGAGGGCAAGCGGATTGACTTCACCCAACTTTTGTTTCAGATATTCTGCTTCAATTTTGTTCATTGGTTTTATTTTGCCTGAGAGTCCTGGTATGTACTGCCAATGTGAATCTGTCAGTGTGTCACTGATATATGGTGAGATCTGTATGGTAAGAAGCATAATAACAGTAAGAGAATATAAAGTCTTTTTCATCTGAACCATGAAACATCTGAACACTTATGAACATTGTTATAACCAGAAATGTGAGTGAATTCAGATCTTCCTGTCTCTATCCATGTTCGACCTTATTTTTATGTATACTTTAATAATAAGAATGCTCCTTGCATTTGATGTAGTGCCTTATCACATCATCTAAATATCTCAAAGTGTTTCACAGAATTTATTGTAAAGACCAGTGATTGTGTATTTGTAACACAGCAGCCAATTCATACTGAACAATGTCTGACAAATAGCTAATAGCTCTACAGCTGAGTAAATACAGAATCTGAAGTTACCAACAATACAGATGAAAATTGTTACCTGTGATATGTCAATTAATGACTTCTGTATGTATGTGAATGTATGGACAGGATTTGGTAAGGCAGTCGAGGGCTTAGACATTGAGGAATGTAAGTTATTTGGCTATGGAGTGAGGGGATTAAACTGCCGAACCAAGTCCTGTGAGGTGATAATCAGATTTAAGATACAATCTGGTGAACTGGCAATGTTTCAATGTTTCGATCCACAGGCCAGCGACAGTATGGCCTGGTAGCGTGCTAACCATTGTGACAGACTGACAGGAAGGGGTCTATGTACAGAGTCTCTATTCATCCACTGGGCTCCCTGGGCGCATTTATCATCAATGAGCTTGCATTTGATGTAGTGCCTTATGACATCATCTAAATATCTCAAAACATTTCACAGAATTTATTGCAAAGACCAGTGATTGTGTATTTGTAGCACAGCAGCCAATTCATGCTTAACAATGTCCCACACACAGTTATGAAGTGAATGACTAATTTTCAATTCCTATGTCAGGATTTTGAGCTCATTGACACTCCAATGTAGTGCTGGAGAGTGTTGTATTGTTGGAGGTGCCATCGTTCATGTGAGATGTTAAATCAATAATTATTATCATAATTATCATTAGTGACTAAATTGAGAAATAACCAGAAGAAAAGAATAACAATTTCCACAACAACCTGCATTAATATTGTGCTCTTCGCTCGAGTAGCACCTCAGAGCGCTTAAACAGCAATGTGGTTTGACAATGTGGAAAGAGGAGAAAACAAGAGATATGCAAAAGACCCGAGTTAGCTTAGTGAAGGCAGCGGGTAGTGGAGTGGAATTGAGAAGGGAATTGAGAATTTTTTTTGTATAGTCAGTTGTTAATTCACAATATTATACCATAGATGGCTATTGAAGATAAGTCCATTACAGAATTTAAAAGGGAATTGAATGAATACATTAGCAAAAATATACCAAACGGGAATGGGAAATGGGAAGAGAGCAGATAGCTCCTATGTGGGAGCTCACACCAGCACAGATGCAAAAGGGCTGAATGGCTTTCTTTGTGCTGTAAATTGTTTATGATTTCCATAAAGACAAGAAACAGAGTTCCTCTTGCAAGCTGAATGGTGGTGTAAAGCAGTCATGTGACATTAAGCAGTGCTGCCAAGGTTATGTGTCTTGATTCAGATGCTTTGGAAGTTAGCCCAATCAAATAGAGGTCCAGCATACATAGATCACTGAAAATAGTACTTTTCGTGTATGGCATTTCCCATTATAAACATGCAATAAAAAGATTGCTATTTTTAAAAATTGCCATATGATAGAGTCTGGGATGTATTTTTGTCAGTTTGATCCTCTAATGTTTCTCCAGATATGATATCCCTTTCAGAGGTTACTATGCTTGCCAACTTGAATGACTTGACAACTCTGAGACGCTACCCTGCGTGAGGGGCGTGATATAAATGCAAGTTGTCATTGATCAATTTTTACCTTGAAGATTGTTGAGTACACTGGGAAAAATTCCCTTTGCTTTACGAATCGTATCATCTGATCTTTAACATCTAACTGAACAGGCAAATAGAACTTCAGTTTCACGTCTCATCTGAAGGACAGTACATCTGCAATGCCACACACCCCCAGCACTGCATTGGTGTGTCAGTCTGGACTATGAACTTAAAGTCCCAATGTGGGGTTGAACCCACATCCTCCTGACTCAGAGGCGAGAGTGCTATGAACTGAGCCAGGCTGACAGTAAACTTAATATGAGCAGTTTTACTAATCCAATTGCGAATGTGGTGTATGGATGTATCACTACTATGAAGGTAATACAGTTGAGGTTGTGACTTTACCTGGTTTGATAATGCTGGTGACAGCAGCCAAGTACTCCTGAGGATCCTGCTCACTGGAGATCTCACAGTACCCTCTCTCTGCACATATCAGCTCATATAGTTTGTCTGAGCTCACCACACCACACCGCAGGATTACCACATTGTCAGGAGGCTGAAAAATCTTGCCGAGGTGGATTCTCATTGATGTAGTCAATCCAGTCAGTAAACCATTGGTCAGTATAAGTAATTTACATTTGTAACTGGCTAGCTGTGGTGCAGCACTCTTCAGCTCCTTAGCATTTGTTATTTTATAACAGTGGAGACTGTTCTGATTGAAATGCTCTGAGAAAATCTGCACAAGGTATCTTCCCCACTCCTCGGCCTCTTCTTCATGCAGAATCAGTAGGTCTGTGCTGTGATCTTCTTTAATGAAAAATAAAGTGTAATTATTTGCGTTTAGCATAAAGTAAATGGGGACAAACATGAAGGTTGTTTAATGTGCTTATGAGGCATATTGGTTAGCACGCTCGCCTCGCAAGTGAGAGGACCCAGGTTCGATTCCTGGGTTGGGTGAAACCTTAGGCAAGTTTCCTTACTCCACACGCCTCTGTTTACCTAGCAGGAAGTAGGAACCTAGTTGTTAGTCGATAGGCAGATCGTTTTTCTGGGGGTAATAATCCCTACAAAAAAAATAAAAATAATAATAATAATAATTTGGTCACTCAATCCACAACTGTTTAGGGACACTGCTGTGCACAATTGACTGCTGCATTTAGCCCACAAAGCATGCAGTCAATTCACTTTACAGTATATTCTGTGAAGCGCTTTGAGACGTCTAGAAGATATGAAAACTGCTATATCAAATGCAAGGATTATTACTATTATTATTATTTTTTGATGTAGCACCTTATCACGTCTTTGAGACATCTCAAAGCGTTTCACAGGATATACTCTAAAGTGAATTGACTGTGTATTTTGTGGACAAAATGAGTAACCAATTGCACACAGCAGTGTCCAACAAATAGTTATGGATTGAGTGACCAAATTTTTTTTAAGATCATTGCCTCCGGAAAAGCGATCCGCCAAGCGACTAACTGCAGTGTTCCCACTTACCGCGAGGTAAGCAGAAACCTGTGGAGTAAGAAAACTTGCCTAAGGAATCAAACCCAGGTTCTCTCGATTGCGAGGCGAATGTTCTAACCAATACGCCACAGGACCCCACCATAAACAGCAATGAGATGATAAGGCAGCTAATTTGAAATGTAGATAAACTTAAAGAAATAAGGAATAAATTCTAGTGTGTAATCTGACCTGTGGTAACACGGCAGGAGGTGTTTTTGAAAGCAGAGAGCAAGGCTTCACATTCAATTGGAAGTCAATTTCAGCTCCATAACAAACTCCACCAAAATAACCCAACATTGCAGGAAAGCTTCTGTCACTGACAAAACTGACTTCCAGCAAAGCAACAGCCTTGTTTGGGATAGATTTTAAGCATTTAGCTGTTTTAGAATCATAGAAGTTGGTGCACAAAAGCAGGTCTTCCAGCCCATCAAGAGTTAAGTCTGGTTCCAATGGTCTGCATTTTATAGCGCCCTTCACATGGGGTAGCTCCTCGGAACTCTTAACAGTGGCAAAGCTTTACGCTGAGCCGGGGGAGGGAATATACAGATATATTCATGTTTTAAATAAAGGCATAGTAGCAATATAACATATTATATATACCATATATATTGCCTTCAAAGCCTGTAGTGAACAAACTCTGGCTACACCTTAACACACACTCTGGGATCCCCAAGCCTTCGCTCTCGCCAATCTGCATTTAATACTCTCCTGAATTAGGTAAACAGGATGCACAGCTCAGGTGCCCAGTCAGCACTTTGAAAATCCTCCTAAATGTTATAGGCCCTATATAAATGTATATTGTATTTACTCTCATCCCAATTCCATGTTCTTTCCTGGAACTTTGGTATCTTCCAAAAAATCATTGCCCTGGTTTATAATGTACATGACATGTAATACGGTGTCTTGCCACTTCCAACACTAATTGTTGGATGTGGCAATTTCTGAAGTCTGCCTCAACAAGAATGCGAGTAACGGACTGACTTCACAATTCCATCACAAATAATGATCAAAATTATGCAATGTAACATAAAGAGATTGTTGACATTCCTGTGTATCATCAATGAATATTTTGGTTTTCTATCTTGGTTCACAGAGTGAAATTTACCCTCAGAACTACAATGTTACATTATCTTTGTTCGTAGAAGTACAATAAATTAAATTGTGTTTTATTATAAGTACACCTAACCATTTCTTATGGAGTCCCTTGGGCTTCATTTTACACAGAAATGCATTTATCCTGTTGATAAAATCTGTAGCAGCAAATAATGCTGGACTGATCTGAAATCAAACCGATAAGCACATTCAATAAAAATAAGAATTAATTTCCCCTGAGTGTTGCATTGGTCTGAGATACACTAATAATGCCCATTATTGAGGGTAAACAGTCAGAGAAAATATGAAAACAAATTGGAACAACATTCACTAACCCAACAAATCTAAAGATTATAGACCTACCTGAACGCTTCATGTTATAGTGCCTCTTCGAAAGCAACACTTGCTTTTCTGCAGAAGAGCTAAGTATGATATCCTCTGGCAGCTTAAAGCACAGTATAAAGAGGAAGTTGGTCTCAGCAGGTTCTGTTTATTTGTAAAAATTTGTATAACTCGCATTTCCTGATCTATAATTACAGGCCAATAGCTGCATTCTCTAAAGCACAATATAGTGTAAGGTGCTGAGTTAGTGAGTATTTGAGTTGTATTAAACTCTGCTTTTTCCTGTCTATTGTAGAACAAAGAGCACAAATATTTGCTTCAGTAAGAGTTCTTGCACTTACTTGGCTTCTTACCGTAAGTGAACATTGTTCTCAGCTAAAAGCTGTTTGATGTTTAAAAGGGAAAAGAAAAACAATTTAGTTTAAGACTGTGACCACCTAAGAAGTTGGACTTCTGCTGGGTAACTGTGAGTAATAATAGATTGCGATCTGGCTTGAAATTTGTGGCTGAACTAACCACTTAACTGAAGTGCGAAACGCTATAGCCAGTGCGCCACCAGTTACCATCAATGATTAGAATAACCAAGAAGTGTAAAAATAAAAACTATTACTGTGCGAAACTACTATGGAAGGCTTTATAATAATTATAATAATAATCATCATCCTTGATTTGATATAGAGCCTTGTCACATTGGTGATACCTCTCAAAATGCTTCACAGGATTTTACTGTAAAGTGTAGTGACTGTATTTTGTAGGCAAATGCAGCAACTAATTTTCACATAGTAACGATGCACAAACCGCCATTAAGTGAATGCTCTACTTTATCTGGGTTATCTGGGGTATTGTTGGCCAGGATCCTGGAAGAAACTCCGTTCTTTTTTTTGAATATCCAGAAATATTTTACAAATACGGCAACTCAAACTTCATTATTGCCTCTTAAAGCACACCAATGTTACTGTGTCTGTATGAGAGCACAATATGTGAGTAGAACACTGTGGATGTGGTACATAGTGTTATGTTGTGAAATGCATATCATCTTCAGATAGTGTGAGAATATTTGACAAGCTGGTGAGTTTACTGCTACAGGCTTGGAAAAAGTAGCAACAAGTTGACCTGCAGCTAATTTGAAATGGAACAATTTGGGCTATTTATAAGTGCCGAAACAAGACTCAGTTTGTCATTATGAACAGAACCCAAATCGTTTATTTCAGAACTGGCTTTGGGTTAACAAATTTCAGGAGAAAGAAATGGTCTGAGATCCTAAATAATTGGGCAGTTAACAGAGCCTGGTTTCAACATTTGGGGTTTCAGTGTTTTTTGGTGCATATTTTGTTAGTCTGAACATTGTAATTAGATTCACACATTATTCTTGCACAAGTGGCTAAGAGTATATTAGTTTTGAGTTGTATTTTGAATGGGACAGTATGGTAGTGTGAAGCATTGTCAGTGTGGCCCGTGCTGCATTATTTTGGTCACATGTGGAAACCCATCACCATGCTTAGGAGTATCCAAACCAAGCTGAGATTGTTGGAATGGAATGTGTACTCTCTACCTGGAGGGAAGGATCCTCCTTACCTAATTCTGAAGAGTATTAGACGCAGGTTGGCAAGAGTCCTGGAGTGTGACAACTTCACTCGTAAACCAAGAAAATTCACGAAAGGAGAAATAATTTTTTTCCATCTTCACCTTAACTGCTGGTCACAAAACCTAAACAAAAACAACTGAATCAGAACAATAGTGACATAGTAGCACTGTATTATCAGATCCTGAAAATCATTCTCTTCTGTTAAAAATGGTCAAATAAATATGATTTTGAGGAACGAGCTTATAATAAACACCAATAAATACCACACATGAACCAACAGCGTCCAGACTCTGTGCCCCCTGAGCAAATGACTCATGACTCTCTGATCTACATTTTAGAAGTTTTTTTTCAAAAACCTGTGAGTGGGGAAGGGTGAGGAGAAATGGGGAACCAGGATGTATAACATTTTAGAACACATTAGTACAATACAGTATTAGGTAAATCATTGATTGAAAAATGCTTTTGCCGTTTAAAGGAGGGAAATGCACTCCACTGAATTGTCACTTTGTCTTAAATGCCAGAAAGACAGAGATCTGCACAATTCTCAGTCCTCCCTCATTCCCATATGTTTTTTTATTGCTTTCGAATGGCTGATCAGTGACACCTCAGTAGCTGACATTTTGTGTAGAGCTCTCACTTCACTGACACTGTGTGAGTTCCAGCCAGATTGCCGAGTGCTTGTCGACAGCCCACTCTTCCCCTGCACAATCTCCCTGGAGTAGGAATCCCACACACAGTGCTTGTTCGCCTCTCACCTGAGGATTGATGGAAGAATGAACAAACCATGTGAGGACATCGATAAAGCATAGGAATCTCTTTAATAAACTTCAGATCATGTGGCAATTCAGAAGAGGTCTCCTTCCCTTCTAAAGACTAATGTGTTATCACGCGAACACTATAAAGCTTCAGGTAAACAGGTCCTTTTATTACCCGGTTGATCTCATCCTTTCCAGATACTCTCCTGTCTTCCCATTAGAGTTGTTCCTTGAATGAATCTAGCAGCCCGCCCTCTATCACCCTTCTGAAAACCTGTTCCAGTTGTTGATTATGCTCTGTGTGTAAAGGAACATTTTCTAGGGCATTTCACATTCTAACCCTTTGTGTTAAAAAACTTTCCCCTAACCTCTTTCAGCAATCATCAAAGATGCAAGTGCACTAATGTTGATGAAATGTAGTGGGTGTTGTTCCATTTGGTTGATGTCAATCTGCTAAAGTCCTGCCAGAGCATTTAAACAATTTTCACATCCATATAGAGATTATCATAGGATAGCATGAATTATATCCAGTGGCTGCACAGGTTGAAGCGAAACTGTAAAGATATACACAGATCTTTGAGTTGTTTGTTTGTATTATGTCCCGGTTCTGCAGGATAAAGGGGGATCAGGAAGCACCTTTGCAATAATTTTCTCCCAGAAGAGAGTGGGTGGGGCATGGTCCATATGGTGTAGATCTTTGAAAGCAGTGCGCTTGAATGGCCTTCTCTTATTTCATGCTTTCTTATGGTTTATGTTCTTTCTAAGACCAATGCACAACCTGGATTTAGTTTTTAGGCAACTGGCCAGGCAATTTTTACTTGTTAAAAATTCTTAACTGTGTTTCTTTTAATGTGATTCAATGACATTTTTGTGTGAAATACTGACTATGTGCTTAACCTGGGGCTTATATGACTGAATAATAAATAGTTAATTGTATTGGGAAAATTGCTTCAAAATCCATACATAAACTATTTTGTTATCATCTAAATCCAAACGATTAATTTTGATCAATGTTGTTGAATTCAGAGTATATCAGACTGTAATGTCAATGTGCTCAGGCTTGATTAGATCTAATATGATTAATAAATGGATTATATCAGGAAAGGCATATTACTCTCTTCATCTGAGGGTAAATGACTAAAATTCAACTTTAATGATTCGAGAGTAACACGTTCACTGATACAAGCACTGCAACAACAACAACAAAATTACATTTCTATAGTGCCTTTCACATCGGGAAGCCATCCCAAGTTGCTGGACGGACAGAGTTATGGACCCAAGCTGGGGTTCAGGATGGGGAGGGTGGAGGACAGTGAGGGAAGCAGGAAGATTGAAAGCAGGGTCGAAGAGGAGGGTCTTGAGATGGGTCTTGAAAGTGGCAAGGGAGAGGCTGAGGTGGAGGGAGTGTGGGATGGAGTTCCAGAGGGTGGGTGGAGAGTGGCAGAAGGCCTGCTCGCCAAGGGTTGGGCAAGCGATGCACGGGACGTGAAGCAGTCCGGAGCCCGCTGAGCGGAGGGAGCAAACAGGACGGTAGGGGGTTAGGAGGTCGCAGAGGTAGGGGGGAGCATGACCGTGGAAAGCTTTGAAGGTGAGGACCAGAATTTTGAACTGTATCCTCTGTGTGATGGGAAGCCAAGGGAGTCGGGTGAGGATGGGGGTGATAGGGTCGCGGAGCCTGGTGCAGGAGAGGGCAGGGGCTACAGAGTTCTGGATGATCTGCAGCCTATGGAGGGAGGAGTTGGGGAGGCCGACAAGCAATGAGTTTGCATAGTCGAACCTCGATGTAATGAAGGCATGTATGAGGGTTTCGGCGGCCCGCTGTGTGAGACAATGGCGGAGCCGGGCAATGTTGCGGAGGTGGGGGAAGGCAGAACGGGTAATGGTGCAGATGTGGGGTAGAAAGGATAGTTGAGGGTCAAACAAAGCCCCAAGGTTCTGGACTGGCTTAGTGAGATGGAGTGTGCAACCATGGATGGTGATGCTGTCAGCGCCTGAGGTGAGGAGGCGCTGAAGGGAACTGAACAGAAGAGCCTCAGTCTTGTTGATGTTCAACTGAAGAAAGTTGGCTCTCATCCAGGACTTGATGTCTGACAGACATTCTGTCAAGACAACAGTGGTCCTGGAGTCAAGGGTGGAGGCAGAGAGGTAGAGTTGGGTGTCATCCTCAGACATGTGGAAGTTCACCCCATGTCTGCAGATGATGTCACCATGGGCACTGCATCATGTGCCCCAGAAATGTAGCCACTCTCCTCAGCTCTTATTTTCTTAATTAACGACAACACCTCTGATAATGTTATTGTGATTTTTAAAACAGTCTTATCTGCACTGGAAGGACAAAGACGAGCAAGTTTTTCAAAAATAATCATTGTTCCCAATTACTCTCTCAAATTCACAACAAGGTGTTAAACACACACCTTAAGCCGGACAAAACGGGCAACCCCAATGTGTCTGGCTTAACCATCTTCCACTATAAATATAAACTTGTATTGTATAGTATTTTATCTTTCATAATTGATCAAATGAACAATTATAATTGTAAAACACTTACATGGTGAGACCATAAAACATTCATGTGATAACCTTCCTCGGAGAGTGTGAAACCAAATCCCTGTTTGCGCATTGCCCATTCCTGGGCATTACGACTTGTTGATTATACCCTTGGAAATCAGTACATGCTGCAAGGGCTCAAGGAGCGACCTTAGGTGCAGTAAAAGTGGTCACCTCTATCTGATAATAAAACACCATGGTACGGCACTGGGATTCAACCTCAATTCAAGT